ATAACATCAGTGCACTCATTTGTTGCCATTAGCTTCTGGTGGTGTCTCTCCATCACATATGTCCTAATGAGTTCCAACATTTCCACTATTGGTTTTTTCCTAGCCTTAACTATAGTGGAATTGAAAGTTTCACAGACATTATTACAAACCATATCACACTTAGGCATATCCATAATGAAAGCCTTACAGAATCTGAAAGTCTCCTTTGCCAAAAAATCTTTACATGCTTCAGGGTCCTCTGCCTTTAGATCATCAACAGCTTCTTTGTAAGCTGCTTTGTAAGTGTTGTTCACCACTTTCCAGTAGAGGTGCTTCAGTACTTTTCCAGGATGTTTTTTTTTCCAGTTCATATACACATGCCTTGCACAATTCCTGTGCTCAGCATGTGGAGTGAGTTCATTTACAGCAGCAATAAGTCCCTATATATAAAACAAAACAAAACAGGAATAAGATATCTAAAAGTGCATATATATAAACAAAACAAATAAGTAAGTTCATCAAAAGATACTATTTTGATTACCTTTTGTTGATCACTAATGAAAGTCCAACCTAAACCATCCCCAATGCCAAGGTCCTTAAATAAGATATCTAAAAACCACTTCCAGTTTTCTTCATTTTCTGAGTTTGCAACAGCCCAAGCTATAGGAAATACTTGATTATTTCCATCTTTTCCAATAGCACACAACAAAACACCCCCCAGAAAGGTCTTAAGAGAACACCCATCAAAACCTATCACTGGCCTACAACCTTGCAAAAATCCTTGTCTTAGAGCACTAAAACCAATGTAAAAGGCCTTGAAAACACTACCTGTGGCCAATAGGAGTTCAAACCTACCATTTCTATCAACCCTCTGCAATTCTGCAATGTAGTTCCTCAAACAGCCATAGTGCTCCTCTTCTGACCCCCCTAAGCATCTCCAAAGCTTTGTACTTGCCTCTGTACAATTTCCACTTATTTTGTTGCACTGCATATTTTTCCATAATATGGTCCTCCAAATCAGCCACTTTCATCCTTGGTTTCTTTCTAAACTTATCTAGAAACTCTTTAGCCACCCAACTAGAAGTTGCTTGCCTAGTTTTGATGTCCCTATAACATGTATGCTCAGCAACAAGGGTCTTAATGGCAATTCTTCCCTCTCCTTTGATCAAACTGGCATATAGTTTCCAAGGACAAGGCTTCTGACACCTAGCTTCTACTTGTTTCTCATTACTTCTCCAAAACTGAATGTTGCAGCCATTATAAATAGCATGAGTCTGGATGGCATCTTTGCATTGAACAATACTATCAAACCTCATTCCTAAAACAAATTGCAAATCCTTTTTATCACTCTTGGGATCATATATAGCACACTTCTTCCTTGATTTCTCACACCATCACTATCAGAATTCTCTGAATGAGTTTTCACAGAACCATCAGAATCTTCATAGTCTGACTCAAATTCAATGTTAGGTCCCTCAAAAGCTGCATCTTCATGAACAGAATCTGTAGGGTTCATACCATCTACACCTTGACTTTTTCTGAATAATTCTCTATCCTTTCTGGCAGATAGGTATTCTTCATCATCTGTCACTAGATCACTATCAGATAGGCCATCATCACTGGAACTGTCTTCAGATGGTTCATAATCATCATCAGTTGAATCACCACAGAGGTTGGCTTCATGTACACTCTTAGTATTCTTTTCAACTATTTCTCCTGTTCCATCAACATACACATAGATAAACCTTTTTGGAGGTAGTAACTTCACCATACTCCTCATATCACTGTCACTAAAAATATCTGCAAATACATCTTTTCCCGGAATCTTGTAACAGATTTTCTTCCAGTCCTTGTAACCCAATTTTTGTATTTCTCCTTTCAAGTGAATGTAAGAAAACTTATCTGGTTGCAATCCATGTATGGCACACAGGTCACCCTCATAATAATCGAATAACCCATCCAAGTTGAGAAACTTACCACCATGATTCAAAAAAATTGTATACTTACTGCATTGGCAAAGGAAAAAAATTGTTTAGAATAAGAATTATAAGGCAAAAAACCCTAATTAAAACAAAACTTTGAGTTTTGTATCCCTAATCCCTAAAAAATTCTAATTGACAGAAAACCCTAATTATGTATTTCTAATCCCTAAAAATCCCAAATTGAAAGTAAAACCCTAATTCTGCATCCCTAATCCTTAAAAAACCTAATTTAGAACCATAAACCCTAAAATTGCAAAACTGTAAGCCAAAATATCTTAATCGAAACCCATAATTAATAAAATATATGTATCTAAAAGAGATTATAGAATTAAAAGAAAAAACAAATAGTGAATTTCATATAGAATATTACACAGAAAGATTACCTGTCTGCCAATCCTTCATCAACTGTTCGGTATTGGGACCACATTGGTGATTTTCATATAGAATAAGGCCGATTTGTCTTGGATTTTCAGTATTCAATCCTTGGATTTGTCGATTTTGTCTTTGAGATTTGAGATTGCCTTTACAGAGGATTTTTTAATGTTTCATTCCTCTTCCATTTCGGGATTTATATTAGGATTTCTACAAGTCGACGTGGATTTGGATTTTGGTTTTTAAATTTTTTGGGACAGTCGACGTGTCAAGAAAATTGCGTGGATTTTGTTTTGGCATTTTTTTCGTTTTTTTTTTAATTCCACATGTGTATTCCGGCAGGCCACGTCATTTAATTGGTGCCGGAGATGAAAGTCGTGCTTCGACTTGCAAAGAGATGAAAGGTCATGTACTTAAGTGCTAATATGAGAAGGTCGTGATTAAAATGCAAAAACATAAAAGGTGGTGCTTTTATATGCAATTTTGCCTATTTTTAATCTAAAGTTTTATTTTATATTTTTACATTAAGTCAGTATGAGCATTTCAATCTAATTTATAGAGTTCATCATGATAGTCTCATGTATCTTTTGAGCTTGCTATTCAGGAAAAAGATCTCTATTTAAAAAAATAATATTTTTTATAATTTTAGTTTAAAGTTATGCTCATTAACCTTTAATTTTGATGTTCATTAGCTATTTCTATTTTGGCATTTCCGTTTGACATTTTTTAGCGGCTACCAATGGGATAAATGCGTTATTTTATATCATATGTTCACTTTGATAAAACATAAATTATTATAAAACAAAATGAATAATTTATAATATTCCTTCTTCGAATATCGTGATTAGAGTCCAAAATTTATAAATTTCGAATGGGATTGAGTTTTTCTTTTCAATTCAACTACTTAATTTGATTACAATTTTACCATTAAAAATATATCATATACAAGGACTTTTTAGTCCGTTCAAATTTTTACAAATCACTCGTCCTTTTACAATAGTATAGATATGATGTGCCTCAAAAAACTCTTACTTTGATATATCTTTAATGGCAAACTAATAATACAATAATACTCATCTTATTTATATTTTTAAATTTAATTAACAAATGAACTACCTAAAAAACCCTTACTTTGAATAGCAAATTAATAATACACTAATAATCATCATATTTTATATTTTTAATTAATAACTAATATTTAATTAATTAAATATAGATACATGAACAAAATATTCCAGCTCTCCTAAAAATCAACCTCAATATTCTCATATCATTATTCCTCACCAATTTGCTTCTTTCACATATCTGTCAAACTGCTTTCTTTCATATCTCCAAAAAATCAACCTAACAACAAAACTATGAAAGGATATAAAACTGATGTTTTTAAAAACGTCTTTATTTTAAATATAATTTTAATATAAAATCGTTTAACAAACGCTGAATCTTGGTAAAAAAGGACAATTTAATTGATGGGTAACTTGTATATAATAAGTACGTCTAAAGATACATACTTAACATTAATTAAGAGACGATACCTAAAATTTTACTGAAATCATGCACCGTGAATATATACATAATATAACAAACTAAAAAAAGTGAACAATTCATTTAACTACTTCAATATTTAAGAAAATTAACTCTTTTATGTAGAAGTAATATAGAAATTAAACCTTAGTTCTATTGGATTAGATTTTGATCCCACAAAAATCTATATATATTTATTTGTTTGTTTGTTTCAATTTTGGTCACAAAGTCAATAAAGTTAACGAATCTTCACCTGACCATTAGGTGGTTGATATCAAGGTGGATAATATTTAATTATTAACACTTAAAATATTTAAACTTTTTCATTCAATAATTAACTAAAATATATCATGATATATTAATTACTATTACTTTATTTGAGCCAAGTTGGACGCTAAATAAACAAAAAGAATTAAAATTGTTATATATTGAATATTTTATTTATTGATATTATCTTAAGATTTTTAAATGATTTTATGATTTTCTCAATGACATTTGAGAGTTTATTTGACCGTAAGTATCCTATCAAATAAGATAAATGTTTAAGTAATATTTATTTAATTTTGTAAGTTTATTAATACCACTAGGTAAAAAACTTGAAATCGGTATTTTTTGATTTCATAACGACCACAAAGTATAGAAACATTATTTTTTGAATTAACCTATAAAAACAATAAATTGTGTAATAATATGAGATATTAATTGTTGAATGATTATTTTGCAACATAAACTTCTAATCTACTCAATTTCTTTAGTTAAAATAAGATTAGAACAATTCTATGAAATTGTATAATACTAATGCTCAATCTAATGGGATACCAATGATTATTTGTTTACAAGTCGAATGGGATACCAATTGAGCAACATAATTTTAACTTTGATCATATAATTTTCTACAAATTAATTAAGAATATCTCGAAAATCATAATATGCATATATACGTTGAAAATTAATAATTTTAACCAAGAAATTATATCCATATATTACCAGTATCCCTCTATCCAATGTGTATTATTGTAATAAAGCAGTGTTTTTGTTTAAAAAAATGTATGAAATAATAAATTTATATATTTGAGTATAGTATTAATGAAAAAAAATGTAGTTATATACAATGTAATAAAGATATTACAATTAATTGTTATATAATAAGGCATATGACCCAAAAAGTTCTATACTTAATTTTATCTATTTTTTAAAGATCTATATATATATATATATGTATATTAAAATTCATATGAAATAACTTTAAAGTAAAAAAATATTAAGTATGAAGAATAATATTAAAAATAATAAGTTGTAACACTTACTTATAAATATGAAAAAAGCAATAAATAGAAAAGTTATAATTAATAAAATTAAATATAAAACTTTTAAAACCTGTACTTTTTGAAGTAAACAAGTCGAATTGTCCAGCGCTTGTTAATTTTTGTGCTTATTAGTTCTATGTGTAAGTTTTAGGTGATAGACAATAGTTATTTGTATTTTACCAATGTAAGTTAGAACTTTTAATTTTTTTTAAATAAAATAAACTTGATTATTATAATCTTAAATAACTTTTTATTTGTCATTAGTTTTCTTTAAGATAATATACAAATATCATTTTGCATATATAAAATAATTATTTTTATTATTTAATATTTAATAAGTAAAGAATGTAACTCAATTGATAAATTAATACGTAATCTTGAGATAAAAGGATCACTAATTTCTAAAAAATATACATTGATTAAAAAGTTTATGTGCTTAATGTATTTTCTATACAATATGTGTAAAGACAATTAACTAATAATAAAGTAACAAAATAAAAATTTTAATGTTTAAGAAGGAAAAAAAAAAAAAGTTATATTGCAATGTAAATCCGATGGTACGTTATTCCACTGAAAATTTCATTGGCTATTCCATCAAAGATCAATTAAATTACATTGAAATTTTAGTGGATTTAATGATTTCAATTGCCATTATTTATTGTAGTGTGAAGTTCCGTTTAAATATTTTTCTAACCATATTTCAACCGTTGGAAAAACTGTCAATTGATTTATAAAAATTTCAATAGAAGTTCCATTAGAAAGCTAAATGCATTGGCGGATCCAAAATAATTTCATAATAGGGACACTATTCAATTAATTGAAAAAGTATATCATAAAAATAACATAATGTCATTAGAATATATAAATTATATTTTCATAATTTATCATCTTTCTCATTTGTAATATATTTTTAACACATTAATGCAATCACAATAAGTTAAAAAATATTTAAGAGAATTGTTCTCAATTCAACATAAGAAAATCATTGAAATAATACATTTTTTTTAGAATTTTTAAGATCAAAAATTTTATGTTGCAATATTGTTGACTCGACAATATTATTGATGGATTTATAGATTATAATATTTAATTTTAATTAATTTTCAATATACACTTTCACTAATATCATATTCGTGCCTCACAATTTTCCTGTAATATCTACCTATATCAAATACCAAGGCAACTCAGTAATAAAAAGTGCAAATGAATGAGCCAAAAGTTCATAAAAACCATCAGTTTGGTCATACAAAAAGTTTCTGCTTTCCCTTTTTCTTCTGTGTTTTCTATATTTCTTTTTGTATTGGGCTTGTCAAGTTACTGTGTATATTAGCATCCCAGTTAGGAAGGTAAAGGTTAGCAGTAGCTTCATTCATCATTTTCCCAAAAGTGACCTGCAAATAACAATCAAAAAAGCTTCAAGACAATAATATGCCTTTAAACACTACGCTTAAAACACAGTAATATGCAATGGAGCATTCAACAAGTTCTTGACGACAAACAAACTCAAATTCCATTGGCAAGTGAATCGCTATTCACCGCCCCCTTATTACTACGTACCGCCCCATAATTACCTTTTTGCCCTTAACACACTTTCTCTCTCTCTCTCTCGTCCTGTTTCCCCGGTAAGACGCGACCGTGCACATCCTGTTTCGTCGGTAGGACGCGACCGTGCACGTCCAATCA